TTTTTTTTCGCTTCTTAAGAGACTAGCGACGATACATACCCTTGGGCTGCTTTCCCTCCATTTCCACATTGTGCTTTGCAGAGGAATGCTTTTGAAATATTTCGTCATCATCACGACTACCGTCGTTGCCATCATTTTCACCGGTGGCAGCTGAAACGATACCCATTTGCTCGAGGTTGGAAACAGAAGCTGGAGAACTTTCTGTTTTCTCGCTGCTATTTTCGAAATGAGAATGCGGATTCGCGGCGTGAATATTGAGTTTATCCAAAGAAGACTCGTCCAGCGGTGTGGGAATTGACTTTTCTATTTCAGGCTCGATTTGTGAGAATTTTTCCTGAATTATCTCAATTTGTGTTGATTCCTCGTGTGAATGTTCCTCTTTCTTAGCGTATGCTTTTTCTTCACTAACTGCTTTTTCGCTTCTGCTTGCTTTCTCCTCCAATGTGCCTGCATGCGTTTGCTCATCTTGCACTTCTTCCACTGGTATTTGAGTGATGGACTTTGCTGCGTTCAGCAGTAAATAACTTTGCAAGCGTTGCACCAACACATCCTTTTTGCCAACAGGACTCAAACCATGCGCGCGTAGTTCAGCGCGCAACTGTGAAATTTTCAATTGTGTAAGATCGCCGCCCTCTTCAGCGAAAGAAGCATATCGTAACGAGTATGAGTAGGTATGTAATGCGCATGGATGGTTGTGTTTTCATTATGCAAAAGTGTAATTGAAAATACGTATATATGTAAAAGAAACGAAAATTAAAATGATTAACGCTTTAGTGATGGGCAATGACAGCGAGTTAGCTGTGAACAGCTGGGGTAGCTGGGGCTGCAGCTAAATCATCGTACCTTTTGAGCGATTTTCATCTGCTTTAAGCAATTGATTTGTATTTAAATTATGCGCTTGCATGCTTTTCGATAAAAGGCTGCTCTCTTTGGCGGTCGGGCCCGCATTTTCATTAACTGTTTTAGTTTTGCCTTTGAATGTAGTCAAAAAAGAAGAAAAAGAAAGAAAAAAGAGAAAACAAATTTTCAAAGTAGTGGGGAAATTAAAAGAAAAATGTAACTAAGTATATTAAAGGGGTGTAAAATAGCAAGTCTGTGCTGTACAATTATTGATGTGCAGGATTTTGTGTTTGTTTATTGGGAAGGAGTGCAAATTAAATGGGTGACACCAAAGCCAGAAGCTTATTAGCGGGGATAGGAAAATTAAGCGCTGTTGATAGGAATTGAATGAAATTAATGAAATTAGGTAGTTGAAATGATTTAAACTTAGAAAGAAATGTTAACGAGATATATGGATTGCGTAGTGCATTGGGTTTATACAAAATTGTAAACAAATAAGAGTACATATTTCAGGGAGCAATAAATTATGAGTTAATCTAAAGCCTACATTTAAAAATTAATTTGTTATAAGCAAACATAGAAATATGCAAATATTAATATAATATACTGAGCAGACAAATACAAGCAGTTTTGCAATAATTTGTTAACAGAGAGAAATGATTTCGCATGGCATTTCTCATGATTTCGTAATAAAGAAGAGAAACAATCACAGTTATAAAAGTGATGGCTAAGCGGTGGTTAGACCTCGCTTTAGACTCGCCTGAATACGAGTACTTCAAAATGCGACTGACGATTCCCAGCAATGCTGTTACCTATTATATTCGCATAGCGAATTTATCTTATAAGCCCTTCCGATTTTAATTGTTTAGCACCTTTTAGATTTGTTGCCAAATTTCCTAAGACTAAATGTACTGCACACTTCTGTTCTGGTTCGAAATTTCGAAAGAAAATCGGTAAAGCAATGAAAATAATACTGCGAATGTTATCAGTATTTTGTTTAAGAAATCGTACAGAAATTGTTTGACGAGCTCGCGTCAATCACTTCATATGATTTTCTTTGAAGACTGCTAAAGAAACCGTTACACTTCCGATACTCTTAAGGTGGATTCACCGCTCGTATCCGAACACTTTTTGTTAGTAATTTTACGCGTTCCTTTCCCACTTTGTCGCACTGAGAGCGCGACAGAAATATGCTGAACCCTCTTTGTTCGAATCAAATTGATTGAGCAAATTGCATGTGCTGGTAAGTGAACACCATGGCGTATGATTAACATTTAAATACTACTCTGGGCTTCGGAACAAAAATAAAGAAAATCCGAGTGCTTACGTGAAAATGTGAAAAAGTGCCTTAATATAAACTTTTCATGAGAACAAATAAAGTATGTATTTCTGGTAATTTCTCATGAATACTTACATTTTTTAATTAAACAATTCAAGCTTTAAGTGAAAAGAAATAATTTTAATATTCGAGCAAAGGCTTTTTGTGTGCAACAAAACGACGCGCTAATTCACAACTATTAAGAATTCATTGTAAATCTGAGTGAATTTTCAGAGCTCTGTGCTGTTTGACTAAGAACGAATTGGCGCAAAAGTGGTATGGTGAAATTATAAGAAATTGATTGTAAAACGGATACAACAGCAAGCACTTTAAAATAAAGAAAAATGCTTAATTAAATTTGTTTTTGTTCATTTTTTATTTTCGCTTTTTTTATTCAGCAACGTTCTACACAGCTTAATTAATTATTTGTACGCGTGTGACAGGCTGATTTCTCAACAACATTCAAAATAGGTTCAGGACAGAGTCACAGCCTGTGCTATGGCGGCACAATGGGCAATGGCTATTTTCGAACATCGCAAACGCGCAAGGACAAGCGGTGAGTAGTTTGACTCTTAATTAACTGTGTGTAAGAATATTAAATTTTGCCATACTCTGTAGCATTTACGTAAGTTATGACTGGAGTATAGTTATTTGCGCTATAAGTTAATCTATATTCATTTATAAGTATGTATGCTTATCAACAAGTTTTATCGAAAAGCACCTAAGAACCTTACGAAATAAGTCTTTAGTTCAATAACTTAATTCTTTAGAATATGTGAGAGTAATTCCTTTAAACTTCTCTCGCGTTAAATAAAACTTCAACGTTTTTCAAAAGTAAAGTTGTCTGCATGTTCAAGTCACTTTATTGAATTTATTGAAATTCACACAAGAAGTTCATGTAAGTAAAGAGAACTTGTGCATTTTTTTTTTTACCGAGTTGACATGTGTTAAATGGCTGGTAGGATTGTGTGTATGTGTGTATGTGAAATGATGGCGCAAAACGAAATTCTGTGACACAACTGACAGATACATAAGTAGGTACAGTTTTTCGTGCGTACTGAAAATTTGGCTAGAAAAGGGAAAATCATGCATACAGCTATGGTCAAAGATTTAGCAACAATACACAATATACATAGTAATTTTCATTTAAAATATGTAAATAATAGTTTAAACGCTTGCACAAATTTCACAAAAATTAATTCGACATAAAAAAATTTCAAACTTTTTAATCAGAATTTTTAGAAAATTTCCGGGTATGCAGTTTTTTAGTACATTACGTACGCACAAATCGATCTGTATACATTAGGGTGGTCCAAAAACAGTAGAGTCGGAATTATAATGCTCTCACCCCCAAGGATTGTTGTATGTATATCGAAAAAGTATACCGCTATTTTCTTATTTTGAAATCAAAAAATATTTAGTGTACACTGTAAAGGCTGCGAGAATTCACTTCCTCTGTTTCTCATGTTTAAGTGGAAAAAGGGGTGACCATGGCGTATGAGCAATTTTCACTAATACTACACCACGGCGTATGATTAACATTTGGTGCTCTAAACTGCTGTCAGAAAATCCGACTCGAATTTCAGTACAAATTCTTGAGCTTGAGCTCACTTCATCAGCGCAAAAGCTGAGTCTGAGTTAAGTTCTTTGCAAGAAGCTCAATGTTTGTAGTTTTAGTTAGAAACAAATTCATAGCACGCAAAAGTCATATGAATACAAATGCAAGTATATTGCACTATATGTATGTATGTATTTACGTATGCTGGTCTGCATTTTTAACCCGCACGTTCAAATCACATAAATATTTAGGATATTTGTTCTACTGCAAACTGGCTGGCATTCGCATATAAATTTGGCTTCTAAGTAAGTTACTTAAGAAATCGACATTCGTATCTGTTGAATCTAACATTTATACGCGTCTTCAATATGTATATGTATGTATGGGGAGACAAGCGTAAGCACTTTGAATTTTGCTTTCTGCGCAAATAGGGTAAGTTTGGCTTTATTTTATTCGACCTTTTGTGTGAATTTTCAAACTGCAGTAAAACAGATTGTCGTGGTAATATTTAGTTGCAATTGACATAATTGCTTCATAGTGTCATTCGAGTTCTTTAATGCTCAATTGTCTGTCAGATAAACCTCAATTGCATATATGTATATACGTTAGACTGCATCACAAAAAAAAATGCGGTTTTTCCGCCGGGATAAAAAAATTTATTTCGGAAAAATATTAAGATTTGCATGAGCTGGACCGTATTGTCATTTGAGGGGATTTAAAAAAAATCTTTAAGAAACTTTTTTTATTCATAAAAAGCTCAATTTTTGGAGGTATTTTCAAATCGGTCCAGCTCACGTAAATCTTAACATTTTCCCGAAATATTTGAGTGGACGTTTGAAAATATAATAGGTTTTATAATTACAATTGAAAAAGAGTACCGATTTTTGTTTTGTATGGGGAGTGATGCAGTCTAATGTACATACATACACATGTATATTGGAGCTATTTTGTACAGCAAAATTTCTTCGGATCAGACTATCTAATCAATAACCTTCGGGTTTTGTAGGGTTCCAAAAAAGGTAAATGGCAATATTTACATAAATTTAGGGGCGCTAATTGACCAAGAAAGTTTTAGATATTCCTTGTATTTTACTTCTCTTGAGTTTTGGCCTTACTTCGTGCCCTTGCGGGATCTTTTTCGTTT